ATCTTGGGGAAGAATGTTCCTGGCAAAGGGAACAGCAAGTACAGAAAAGCCCTGGGGCGCAAGTATGTCTGGGGTTCCCAGAAGAGCGAGGAGGCCAGTGTAGCTGAAGCCAAGGGGGTGAGGGTAGATGAGACCCCAGGAGTAGCAGGAAGGGAGATGGCACAGTCCTCATGGGCCACTGTGGAGCTTTTTTTGCTCTGAATGAGTGGGGCACAGAAACCGTGGACCCAACTCCTGTGTGCACAGGGAAGCCGCCGTCAGTGTAGGGAGACCAGATGGAGGCTTGCAAAACCAAAGCCAGGAGACCAGAGGGGAGCCACTGGCAGTGGTCAAGCAAGCAATGATGGCAGCTCTGGCCTGGGGGTTGTGGTGGGAGTGGTGAGAACTGGTCCGATTCTGGAGCTATTTTGAAATGTGGGCCAGCAGGGTTTGAGCATGGATCGGATGTGTGGGTAGTGAAAGAAAGAAAGGCGTCAAAGATGATGGTTGGAGACAGGGAAGATTACAATGGGAGCACATTTTAGAGGAAGAGCGTAGGTTCATTTAGGGGAAGCTAAATTTGAGATGTCTCCTAGACATTCAAGTAGAGACCTGGAGTAGACCAGACCTTTGGATTCGAGGGAGATGGGGGAGAGGAGGAAGCGGTGGGGAGAGAAACCAGAAGACTGGAAGAAGGAGTGTCAGGCCTGCTGACAGGTCAGGTAAGAGGAAGAGTGAGCACAGACCTTGGGATTTGGGGGTTGGGCCCCTCCCCCACTGTAGCCTCAATCCAGGGTTTAGTCAGACAAAAGAGAGGAGTAACCACTTCCCCAAGGCCATGGCTGATCTAGTTCTTTCAGCTGCATTTAACAGCTCTGACCACACTGTCCTGTAACTTTGTGAGATTTGTCCATTTTGACATAGCTTTAGATCAAGAGTCTGTGAACTAAGGCCTCAGGCCAGATCTATTTTAGCAAATAAAGTTTTATTGGGACACAACCATGTTCATTTGGGCCCCAAGGCTGCTTCCACACTGCAACAGAATTGAGTAGTTGCTGGGGATCAAAAGGCCTGCAAAGCCAAACATATTTACTGTCTGGCCTTTCCAAGGGGAAGTTTGCTGACCCCTTCTCTCTCACGGTATTTTGCTCTGTTAAAGGAATACCCAAGATATTCAGTAGGACATTTAGGTAGCCCCAGTTTTTTTGCTATTATGAAAATGCTCCAATTAAACATACTTAACTGTGTTCCCTTGAGCTCATATGGTACACAGCAAGTGGAATTCCTGGTCTGTAGGATATAAGCATCTTCAGTTTCAGTAGATTTTGCCAAATTGCTCTTTAGTGTGGCTGAAAAGATTTACACTCCCATCAGCAGTGTGGAGAGTTCCTATTTTCCCCATCTTTCTCTAAAACATGGTATGATATTAGTTCATATTAGTTAGCAGTCTTCTATTGTTCATGGTTCCTCTGCATCTTCTGGCTGTGAGTGATAGTTATGCTTCCCCTTTCTTTCTCTTGGCTTGGTGCTCTAGCTGGGACCTTGCTACAATGTTGCAATGTGTTCAATGACAAAATTCAAAATTTTGTTCCTGGCTTTAAAGGGAATAATGCTTAACATTTTACCATATAGTATGGTGTTTTACCATAAAGTATGATGTTTGCCGCAGGGTTTTTTGGGGGGGCGGGGGAGAAGTCACCTAGAAAACCAGCTGGATTATTATTTTTTTTTTAGGTATATGGCTACTCATTTGTCTATTTCTTTTTGAATTAGTCCTGGCAAATTATCTTTTTCTAGAAAATTGTCCATTTCATCTAAGTTTTAAATTGACTGGCATAAAGTTTATAACATTCTTATATTTTTTAAAGATTTTATTTATTTGACAGAGAGAAAGCACAAGTAGGCAGAGAGGAGGCAGAGGCGGAGAGGGAGAAGCAGGCTCCCCTCTGAGCAAGGAGCCCGATGTGGGACTCGATCCAGGACCCTGGGATCATGACCTGAGCCGAAGGCAGACGCTTAACTGACTGAGCCACCCAAGCACCCCTATAACATTCTTATCATTTCTGCTAGAAATGATAGTTATGTCCATTTTGCACATTAATGTTCATTTTATTGGTCTCTTCAAAGATCCCATTTTGTTTTGTGGTCCATCCTAGTGTTTTTGTTTTCTATTTCAATTTCTGCTCTTTATGATTATCTTCTTTCCATTTTCTTTGGGTTGATACTATTACTCCTTTTAAAAGTTCTTTAGGGGCACCTGGGTGGCTCAGTCGGTTAAGCATCCCAGTCTTGATTTCAGCTCAGGTCATGATCGGGGTCATGAGATCAGCCCAAGTAAGTCTCTGCACTCAGTGGGGAGTCTGCTGGAGATTTTCTCTCTCCCTCTGCCCCTACACCCCACACTCTAATTTGAGAGAATGTGTGTGCACACAAGCAGGGGGAGGGGGAGAGAGGGGGAGAGGGAAGGAGGTAGGGAGGGGGGTAGAGAGAATGAATCTCCAGCAGACTCCCAGCTGAGTGCAGAGCCCAACATGGGGCTCAGTAGCAAGACCCTGAGATCATGACCTGGGCTGAAACCATGAGTCAGCTGCTCAACCAACTGAGCCACCCAGGTGCCCCTCTAATAAAGAAATCATTTTTTTTTTTTTTAGATTTTATTTATTTGAGTGTGCAAGCAGGAGGTGGGGCAGAGGGAGAATTGCAAGCAGACTCTGCACCCAGTGTGGAGCTCCATCCCATGACCCCAAGATCATGACCTGAGCAGAAATCAAGAGCTAGACGCTTAACCGACTGAACCACCCGGGTGCCCCTGATAAATAATTTAACACTCTGCTTGTAAATTTTCTGTATTTCTTACCTACTATAATAAGGCTATAAATCTGCCAAATGATGCTTTCAGTTGCCTTCCCCCTACCATGAGTTTTTATATGTATTCTCATTTTTTTTATCTAAATAGTTTTCATTTCTACAGAATTTCTCTTTGAGTAAAAAGCTTTTTAGATGTTTAAACGTCCAAACATTTGGGGTTTACTTGGCTCGGTCTGTGGTCACAGAAATATGGTCTCCATGAAATGGACGGGCTATTTGATACCTTTGAGATTTATCTTGGGGCCATTTTTAGGTCATTTTTTTGGTAAATGTTTCTTGTGTGCTTAAAAGTAACAATATTGGGTTCACGGTTCTATCAGGGTTCATTAATATTTTCTATATCCTTTTTTTGGCTGTTGGGTCAATCAGTTACTGAAAAAGGTCTTAAATCTCTCACTGTGATGGAAGATCTGGCAATTTCTCCTTGTATCCTATCACTTTCGTTTTATACATTTTCAGTCTTTTAAACCTCTAACTTGTATATTTTACAAGAGTTGTTATGTCTTCCTAAAAGTTGTACTTTTCATCATTTTGTGGTCACCCTCTTTATCTCTAATAATGTCTTTTTTTTTTTTTTAAGATTTTATTTATTTATCTGACAGAGAGAGTGCATAAGCAGGGGGAGCAGCAGAGGGAGAGAGAGAGAAGCAGGCTTCCTGCTGAGCAGGGAGCCCGATGTGGGGCTCCATCCCAGGACCCTGGGGTCACGACCTGAGCCGAAGGCAGACGCTCAACCGACTGAGCCACCCAGGCGCCCTCTAATAATGTCTTTTGTCTTAAAGCCTATTTTGTCTGATTTTGCTATAGATACACCTTCTGGTTAGCTTTTCTCTAGTATACCTTTTCCCATCATTTTACTGTTGGTGCACTTATGTTTTTCTTATTTTAAAGATTTTATTTCTTTGATAGAGCACAAGCAGGGGGAGTGGCAGGCAGAGGCAGAGAGAGAAGCAGGCTCCCTGTAGAGCAAGGGAAGCCCGATGTGGGACTCGATCCCAGGACCCCAGGATCATGACCTGAGCCGAAGGCAGTCGCTTAACCAACTGAGCCACCCAGGCGCCTGGTGCACTTACATTTTAAATGTCCTCTTGTAAACAGCATGTAGAGCTGCATTTTATTTTCCTTGGCCAGTCTGATCATCTGTTTTAATAGATGAATGTAAAACCCTTTTTTACCTCTGGTTTTTGTATCCTATACCATTTTTTACTACCTTTTTCTCCTTTCTGCATTGGCAGTTACACTTTCCTTTTTTTTTTTTTTTAATTTTTATTTTTATTTATTCATGAGAGACAGAGAGAGAGAGAGGCAGAGGGAGAAGCAGGCTCCCAAGGAGCAGGGAGCCCGATGCGGGACTCGATCCCAGGACCCTGAGATCATGACCTGAGCCGAAGGCAGACGCTTAACCATCTGAGCCACCCAGGCGCCCTACACTTTCCATTTTTAAAAAAAATATTTTATTTATTCATCCGACAGAGAGCACACAAGCAGGGGCAGTGGCAGGCAGAAGGAGAGGGAGAAGCAGACCCCCCACCGAGCAGGGAGCCCCACGCGGGGCTAGATCCCAGGACTCTGGGATCATGACCTGAGCCAAAGGCAGACATTTAACCAACTGAGCCACCCAGGTGCCCCTATACTTTCCATTCTTTTAATGATCCCTCATAAGTGTCTGAAACACACACTTGGATATACAAAGCTGGACAATTACCAGTATCTTTATCCTGCTCCCCTTAAATAAGAGCACTTGAACTGATTACCCTCCTCAGTCTGACATGTTGCTGTGTCCTCTCATTCTGTACTCCACAAATTGGATCATCACTGTTCATGTTCCATGGTGTTTTAGATCTACTTACATGTTTACCAGTCGAGCTGCTCACCATTTTCCTATCTTCTCTTTAGAGTTCTGCAAATTCATTACAAAGTGCCAAGATGCTACTTTTGTTTATCCTGCTCTGGATTTTCTGTGAGGATCCTGGTCTTTAATCAAGTTTGGAAGCTCTTCAGGAACTGCCTCTCCCACTTTTTTTCTCCCTCCTGGAATTCTGACGGACCTGTCCTTTCACCTTTTACATTGTCCATCACCTTGTTTCTCTGGTGAGTAGCTTCTGCTCTCTCCTCCAGCTCAGTGACTTACCTTCTGCTGTGTCTAATCTACTTTCTGGTCTCATCCTTTGAGACCTGAATTTCAATGGTTTTTCTAATTCTAGAAATTCCTTTTAAAACCTGTGATTCTTTTTAGCATCTCGCTCTTTCTTGTTTTAATTCCACCCCCCACACCCTAGCTTTTTTTCCTGTAACCATGAGCTCCACGAAGGTGGGGAGGTCTTTAGGTTCGCACCATCTCTGGAAGGGAACAGACTCGGAGTGTGCTGTGGGATGACTTAACACCAGTGGGAACGGAGACCGCTGAGCCCCAGACTGGCCTGCGCGCAGCGAGTCAGCCCTCCCAACTGCCCGCAGCCCCGCCAGTCTCTCAGCCCCGGCCTCGGGGGAGAGGGGCCGGGAGCCCATGACGTCACGGGACTGTGACGCGCCGGGGAGCCCCGCCCCTTCGCGGCGCTTGCCCGGAGTCCAGCTCTCTGCGCCGTGACGTCACGGGTCCGGGCGGGCGGGTTTTGCGTCGGCCCAATGGGAGCGGCGCGCCGGCCTCCCCTTTAAGGAATGTTGTGACCTGACGTCACCCGGGCGAGTTACCTCCCCGAGCCACCGCCGCCAGGCTCAGCTCACAGCCCCGGAGCCCTTGAGCGCGGCGGAGCCCCCGAACCTCAGAGCCCCCAGCCGCGCGCCCCGGAGCCCCGGCCTGCGCGCCCCGCCGGGCTCGCGCGATGCCCTCAGACCGGCCTTTCAAGCAGCGGCGGACCTTCGGTGAGGCCCGGCGGGTGGTCAGCGGGCGCGGGGTGGGGGCGCCGCGACTGACCCGGACTGCCGCAGGCGACGTCAGCCCCGTGACGTCAGACTCGGGCTAGAGCCCCGGGCCGGGAGGCAGGTTCAGGCCTGGGCCGGGGCCTCGCCTCGGAACCCGGCGGGTGCCAGGCCCTGGGGCCTGACGGCCCTGGGGGCGGGGGCTCGGGGGGGCGGGGCCGGGGACAGGCGGGGCGAACGGCGAGCGGGACCTCTCTCGCCTCACTGCCCGCCCACTGTCCGCAGCCGACCGCTGTAAGGAGGTGCAGCAGATCCGCGACCAGCACCCCAGCAAGATCCCGGTGAGTCCCGCCGCCCCCTCCCATCCCCGCGGCCCCCGGCCCCCGGCCCCGCCCGGCTCACGCATCCCCCGCCCCACCCCTAGGTGATCATCGAGCGCTACAAGGGTGAGAAGCAGCTGCCGGTCCTGGACAAGACCAAGTTCCTGGTCCCAGACCATGTCAACATGAGCGAGTTGGTCAAGATCATCCGGTGTGTGGGCAGCAGCAGTCAGAGGGGGCTCGGGTCCTTTTGGGGATGGCGGGGCCCTGGCAGGGCCGGGCCTTGAATCCCTGTTTTGGGGAGGTTGGGAAAGGTCAAGGTCGGGGCTGGGGTCAGTGGCAGGTCAGAGGTGAGGGCTTATAGAAGGGCCTGGGATGGGTGTGAAGCTGCCTCAGAATCCTTTTGGAGAGAGGGAGGTGGGGGGTCAGGGCTCCACCCACCCAGCAGCCAGGCCCCCTCACTGTAGGCTTGCTCTTCTGCCCACCCCAGGCGCCGCCTGCAGCTGAACCCCACGCAGGCCTTCTTCCTGCTGGTGAACCAGCACAGCATGGTGAGCGTGTCCACACCCATTGCGGACATCTATGAGCAGGAGAAGGACGACGATGGCTTCCTCTACATGGTCTACGCCTCCCAGGAAACCTTCGGCTTCTGAGCCAGCAGTAGGGGGGGAGGGGGTTGGCCTGGGCATGGGGGGGGGGGGGCGGTTAGGGCCCTGTCAGGCTCTGCCCAGGGAGCTCCTGGCTCCTGAACTGAACTGCCTCTGCCCGAGATGGGCTAGGCAGAGATGCTGCCCCTCCCCCCGCCCCCCCAGCCAGGGGGCACCAACCACACCTACTCTGCCCCTGGGTGGATCCTGGGCCATTGTTAGGGTTGTCCCCATGGGTGCTGGCTGGGATGGGGGAGGGTAGGGAACAGCCCCCAGCACCCCTGCTCGGTGTGATTTGTCTTTTTTTTAGGCCCCTGCCCAACTGCCCCTCCCTCACCTGAGGCGCTGCCCCCCTGCCTGGACCTGCCCACCCCTGAAGGACTGGCCCCTGGCTCACCTGGTGTTGACATGGTGTATGGATCTGTGGTCACTGTCCCTCTGCAGAATAAAGATTGCTCAGGCCTGCCTGGCCCTTTGCCTCCAGCTGCTTGGGGTGAGGGGAGGGCTGCCAGCGGGGCTGTCTCACACCGGTCTCAGCTCGCCACGGAACAGACTTGTGTGCTGTGGACCTGGGGTTCATTCTGGAAACCCACACCAGTATGTAGTATATGGGGGTGGTGGTCAAGGCCAAGTCCACCCTTTCCAGGAGTTCAGTGTGGGCCCAGGATAGATTTCATAACAAAAAACATTTATTAAGTAGCCACAACCTAACAAATCCTGTTCCCCTGCTTCTTCCCCTATCCAGCATCGGAGGGGGCTCCCCGGTCTGCAGAGCCAAAAGAGTGGGGGCCCAAGGGGAGGTGCTCCTGGCTACTCCCCACTGGCCTTGCTGCCAGCCCCAGTTCCCCTCTGGTGCCAGAGCTACGGAACCCTGGACTCAAACCGCATTTGCCTGAGGACTCCTCTGCTGGCAACTCCGGCTCGAGGGCTGGGCCCAGCTCCTGGCCCTTCCACCCCCTGAAGTCCATGCAGCCCTGGGCCCAGCCAGGCCTACTTGAGCACAAGCATGGCCTCTGTGCCGTCCTTGGCAGTCAAGTAGAGCCCATGGGTGAGGTAGTACTCGCGCCGCAGGAAGGCATAGAAGTAATCCGAGATGAGCAGGATCTGCGGGGAGAGAGGAGCTGTGAGCAGTGCTGAGGAACCTCCCCCGGAACCTTGGGTTGCTGAGGGGCTAGGCAGGTGTTGGGGAGACCCTGCAAGGTCTTGCACTTCAGAAGTTGCCTGTACTGCCCCTGTGGGTTTATGCCACCCGCCCAAGCTCTGGCCTCTGAACTCCACAATGGTATGTCTGCACCCAGAGGCCCCTCTGCCTCGGTGCTTGGGTGCCCAGGGGCTCCTCCACGGTACAGCTGAGCCCCTGTCAAAGCTGCTGCTCCCTGGGAGCCCTTACCCGCCCCCCCATCTTCCTTCCGGGTGCTGAGGCCACAGAATCACCTGACACTTCCACCTGCCGGACACAAGGCTGCTAAGTCCTGGCAGTTCTATATCCCGGACTCTCTCAGATCCACCCATTTCTACTTGTCCTTAGAGCTACCACCCTGGACAAAGCCACTGTCATCTAAACAACAGCAGTCTCCTCTTTGGGCTCCCTGGTCCCAAGCCTCCCACCCCTGTAACCCTTGCCACGTCCAGTCCATTCTCCCTAGCAGCCAGAGGTTGCTTTTCAGGACAAAATCTCATCCTGTTACTTCCCAGCTGAAAGGTCCTCTAAAGGCTTCCGAGGGCTCTTAAGGGGAAGATCAAACTCCTTTGGGGCTCTGAGGCCTTGCGCCTGGTCCCTCACCCTCTCTCCTGCTCCACCTCAGCTCCAGCGACACTGGCCTCTTTCCTCCTGCTGCAGGATCTCTGCTGTTCCCTCTGCCTGGAATGTTCCCTTCCTTTTCATCCAGTCGACATCTCCTTACCCTTCAGGTCTCAGGAAAGATCCTGATTCCTTAGAGAAGCCCTCCCACACCCCCCAGATTGGGTCATGGCCCCCATTAACCTCTATTTCTTAACACAAATTCATCCAGATTAGTTTTGCTTTCATCTATGTGACTGCCTGATGGCTGTGGCTCCTCCCCTGGACTGGGAAGGTCCCCACGGGGTTCTGCCACCCTGGTATCCATGCCCAGCTCAGTCTGCCTTTCCTGTATGGGCCACAGAATTAAAAGGGCCCTAGAAGCTCAGGCTACCATCCCCCTGGCAGAGGCCTAGAGAGGAACAAGGACTTGCGCCATCTTACAATCCCATTACATCCCAAGACCCCCAGGGTCTAGGGCAGGAGGAGGGCAGAGGGGCTCACAACCCCAGGTCTCAGCCACTCAGAAGCCTCTTAGACCATAGCCACCTGTTGGCACAGATGAGAAGATGGAAGCCCAGAGCAGGGGGAACACCTGGCTAGGGTCTGTAGAGCAGGTCAGAGGTTGAGCTGAATCTGGCATCTTGGCCTCTGACCCACAGAGACTCCTGTCCTGGGCAGCCTCATACCGTGGGCAGGAAGAACATGGAGGGACCTGAAGGAAGAACTGAGGACCAACACCAGGGCTGGCCTCAGGACAAGGTCCTGCCATTTTATGACCAGAGGAGCCCATCTGGAAGGCTGATGGTCTCCATCTTACAGATGAGGAAACTGAGGCACAAAGGGTTCAATAGTTGGCCTAAGGCTACACCAGGAGAGCTGGCCTAGTGGCCATGACCCTGAAGGCGACGCACCTGGGATCCAGTCTGCCACAGGGCAGAGAACTTGCAGCTGAGGGTATCAGCGGAGTAGACAGCCCAGGGAGCCCCGGAGGCCTTGCCCCACAGCTGCTGGTGGAGGGCAGGTACCAGAGCAAAGCTGACCTCACAGCCTGCAGCCCCTTTCTCACCCAGGCCCAAGGTGCCCGGTCTGCAGATGGAGAACCTGGAGCTGCGGCTGAGTGGGTGGGGGCTGACCCCCGAACCGGGTCCGATGAGGGTCAGGTACAAAATCACAATTCACAATGAAACAAAAGGAACCAACTCCAGTGTCACACACAATCAGCTGCACAAGTATTAGAAAGTCAAAATACTAGGTATTAGGTCAAACCATATGAAATAGCCATTTCTGCAGATCAAAAATGGTTGAATACTGGAAATGTCGTACAGTTCAATCTAATATAAAATGGAAAAAAAAGTCAAGAAATACAAATAGCAGAGTATGCATGGTATTTAGAAGAACCAGAGCAAATAACTCTAAGGCCATAGGCAGCTATTCTAGTTCCTTATAATCTTTAACATTGTGAGGTATGTATTTGTATTACATTGACTAAAATATCAATTTAAAAAACCAGCCAATAAATGACTGAATAAATAAATAAATGAGGGAGAATTCCTTTTGGAATCCTTACAGAAAAATTCCAATAACATATGTAGACATTCCCTCCTCCAGGAGGTGGAGCTTAATTCTTGCTTGCCCCCCCCCCCACCCGACCCCCTGCCTGCGGGCAGGCCAGATGCAGTAACTCACTTCCAAAGAACAGTGCAGGGAAAGAGAAAATAGTAATTCTACTCTGGAGAAGCCCCAAACACTGTCTTGAACAAATGATGAAGGGTAACATCAGTATGAGATCAGGTGGCTACCATGTACTGGGCATGGTACCTGAGCATTCCAAAAATCCAAACCACAGTCTTATGATGAGAAAAGCATCAGATAAACCCAAAGTGGGGACACTCTACAGGAGACCTAGCCAGTGCTCCTCAAGACTGTCCAGATCATGAGAAATTGGGACAGAGTGAAAAAGTGGGCAGAGGACACGGGAGAGACAGAACACATTAATGTGGTCCCCTGGCTCGGATTCTGGGTGTGGGGCATATGGGAACTTTCTGTATCTAAAGTTATTCTGAAATTTAGAAGTTTATTTAAGGGGCACCTGGGTGGCTCAGTCAGTTAAGCGTCTGCCTTTGGCTCAGGTCATGATCCTGGGGTCCTCGGCTCAAGTCCTGTGTCAGGCTTCCTGCTCAGTGGGGAGCCTGCTTCTCCCTCTCCCCCTGCTTGTGCTCTCTCTCTCTCAAATAAATAAAATCTTTAAAAAAAAGTTTTAAAAAAGCAGCGTACTAGGGTGCCTGGGTGGTTCAGTTGGTTAAACATCTGACTTTTGATATCAGCTCAGGTCTGGATCTCAGGGTTGTGAGTTCAAGCCCTGCACTTGGCTCCACACTGGGTGTGGAGCCTACTTTAAAAAAAAAGAAAATTGGGCGCCTCGGTGGCTCAGTTGGTTAAAAAAAAGAAAATTAAAGAAAGCGATGTACTATTGTTATTTGCAATAATATAAATGAACCTCAAAAAATATGCTGCTGAATGAAAGGCAGCTTTCGAAAATGTACATGTTAAGAGTTGTGTTTTTCAGTAAATAAATAAAAATCTTGGGCGCCTGGGTGGCTCAGTTGGTTAAGCGACTGCCTTCAGCTCAGGTCATGATCCTGGAGTCCCGGGGTCGAGTCCCACGTCGGGCTCCCTGCTCAGCAGGGAGTGTCTGCCTCTCTCTCTGACCCTCCCCCCTCTCATGCTCTATCTCATTCTCTCTCTCAAATAAGTAAATAAAATCTTAAAAAAAAAAAAAAAAAGTTGTGTTTTTCACTGTATGTAAATTTCATATAAGAAAAATGTAAGTAAGTACTGAACTCTGGTTAATGATATACATGCTGAGATGTTTAGTAGGAAAATGCAGTGATGTCTGTACTTCACTTTGAAATATATTTTAAAAATAAGATGGATTGAGGAATGGATAATTTGTGATCACAAAAGTATAGTACAACATTAATGGTACAGTCTAGGTGGTAGGTATGTGGGTGTTCAATGTTCAGTCTTTCAACTTTGCTATGTCTGTGAAATTTTCCAGGATGAAGTGTCAGGGGAGGGTGGCATGGAGGGAAAGAGCCCTGTGTGCGGGCTTGGTCCGTCTGGAACCAAAGTCACTAGTCCTGATTGAGTGCCCTGCCCCCACAGGGAAGGCATCTTGTGGACACCAGGCTGGCCTGGAGGCTTGGCTCTTTCAGAGTGATGCCCCCAGCTGGTAGCAGGCTGGCCAAGACCACCTCTTCTGACCTTGAGGCTTGCCATTTGGGCTGAGAAGGGATTTCCCAGAGGCCGGGATTCAGGCAACACAGCAGCTGTAGACCCAGAGCCCCTTTGCTCAGTCTGGGCAGCGGGAGTTGGGTGAGGGGCAGTAGAAATAGCATGGGCGAGTTAGTGGCTGTGTGACCCTATGTAAGTCACTTTCCCTACCCTAAGGTGCATCTTCTGCATCTGTAAAGTGAGTGATAAACTAGTTTACCCACAATGGTGGCTCCTAGTCCTTGCTCCATTCCGCCGTGTTTTCGGAGACCTGAAGAGCAGCCCATTCTTTTTTTTTTTTTTTTTTAAGATTTATTTATTTGAGAGAGACAGACAGAGAGAGAGAGCACACAGAGGGAGAGGGCGAGGGAGAAGTAGACTCCTTGCTGAGCGGGAGCCCTCTGCAGGGCTCAATCCCCGGACCCTGGGATCATGATCTGAGCCGAAGGCAGACGCTTAACCAACTGAGCCACCCAGGCGCCCCGGGCAGCCCATTCTTCAAAGCTGCCCTCGAGAACTATGACTGGACTCCTTGGCCTCTCTCCTGCCATCCACCACCAAGTCCTGCCAATCTCCTTCCTCAGACTTCCAACTCAGTCTCCTTGTCTCCCTCCCACCGCCATCTCTTGCTGGAAGGCGTCCTGCATCATCCTGGCCCCTCTTGATTCCCAGTGTCTGTCTGTCTGTCTCTCTCAATCTCTCCATCTCTCTCTGGGAGTCTCTTACGGTCTCTCTCGAGTCACACACACACACACACGCACGCACACGCGCATGAACCCTTCACTTGCCTGCTCAGAAGCCTCTAGTGCCCCACTCTGGCCTGCACCACACCCACACGCCCCAGAAGCCCTGACCGCAGCCTGGTCCCGCAAACAGTGCTTGGATGGCCACGCCTCGCCGCCTCAGCTGGGCTGGAATGGCCCTTCCCACAGACAGCTCCTACGTATCCCTAGAGCGGGATCATCTGCATCTCCTGCCCCAGGTCTTCCCTAAGCCCATGCTCACTTATGTCACCCCTGGGATGGAGTCACTTCCTGTTGCCCCACAACCAGACGGGCTGGCATCTGCTCCGGCTCTGGGACCCTAGGCCCGGCAGAGGGCTGGTGCTCTGGGAGTGGATTGCGGGTACCCAGCCCCTCGGCATTAGCCCAGTGAGGGCTCATCAGACCACTCTTCTCCACCGGCAGCCGTGAGGGCTGCAGGACTACCTTCTGGGCCACAATGAAGATGTAACAAGGTAGCGGATCAAAGGACGGCCAGGGGACAGGGAAGGGTGCTTCACAACATGGAGTAAAATGGTTAGAACATGCTCCATCACAGGCTGGGAAAGCAACAACTTCTAGGTAGCCGCCCCGGGCCAGGCCCTTTAACAAAAAAGCATCATGAGGGCATGGAGGATGGGCAGACCAGGTGAAGGCGAGTGGGGGGTGGGGGTGGGGGACAGGCTTCCTGTGGTGAGCAGGTCGTGGGGATGAAGGGTACAGCATAGGGGCACCGTGGGTGGTAGGAGCACTGCATGGGGACACAGGGCAGCTGCCCTTGTGGTGAGCACAACAGAGCTGACAATCACTAGGTTATACACCTGAAACCCAACGTAACGTGTGTCAACTACACCTCAATTTAAAAAAAAAAGCATACCATTGAATCTTCACAACGTTCTGGGGTAGGGCTTATAAGCCCCACTTACAGATGAGCAAACTCAGGGTCACAGGCGGGTAAGGGAAGCTTTAGGCTGCAATGTTAGTCCTGCCTGAGGCCCAAACCTTAGTTCTTCTCCGGCACCCCCAGAGTCCCTCCCAGTTAAGGATTCTGGGAGGGGTGAAAGGACTGCGCACCCACACATGTGGGTCCTGTTAGGGACCTATGCGAACCCGTGGTCTACACTGACACTCCTGTTGAGGCTGTGCTCCCAGGTCCCAGCCCTGTCACTTAGCCAAGAAGACTGAGTTTTGGGGGGGAAAGGCAAAATAAGTATCAGAGCCCTCCGAGCCAGCAAGGCTGTTAATTCAGGGTGTCGGGGGCAGAGGGGCGGGGGGAAGGCTCTGAACAGAAGCCTCAGCCGACACTGGCCCCTGGGCTGCCCCAGCTTCCCAGAGAAGCAGCTGCTCTCGCCATAGGCATGTCCCAGTTCCCAGGTCTCTTGCTTGGGCTGGAGATGCTGACCCCTGATAGCCGACCTGCACTTGGGGGAGCTCACGTGGTCATCACCATGGGCAAAGCACAGCATCCTCTGCCCACACCATCTCGGATCTTGGAATATGGGAGGAAGAGGGGCCGAGGGTCGACTTGTGGAGCTGGACGGGCTTTGGTGTGACCCAACTCAGGCCTGGATGGACACGTGTGGGAGGGGATGGTGAAGAAACAGAGCTCCACCCTCCAGCTCTAAAGACGCAAAACAGTGGGAAAATCACTGGACCTCCATCTCAGGGTCTGGAAGGTCACAAGGTAAGATCAAAGTCGCTATGATGGTAATTGTCATCTATGTGGCATTTTTCAATTCACAAAAGCTATCCCCACCCAACTCCGTACTGAGTCCTCACAGCCAACCTTCTAGGCGGAGGACACGGAAGCTGCTAGCACCTCTTGCCAGGTTTCAACAGCCTCTCTGTGCTCCCGGTTCGGGTTCACACCCCTCACCTTTTCCCCTCCTGGCACGATGAGGTTTTCCAAGCAGGAAGGGGATCCCAGTTATCCTCAGCCAAAACCCACAGGCTCAGCCTGCTCCTCAGCATGACAAGGCTCACACTCTCAGGCGGCGCCCACCAGGCCCGTGGAACGGCCTTCCGCACCCGCTCGCTCATGCTCTCCTCCCCAGAGGTGTCACCACAGAGAGCCCAGTTAGCTCCTACCCACCCCCAGGCACCCCATGTACGGGCTGCCTCCCCACAGAAGCTTCCTTACCCACTGCAGCTCTGAGCTCCCCAGCCTTTTTACCCCATTCACGGCACCATCCGGCTGCCCCGGCCCTGCCTGGTTCCTTTTCTTTCTCTCCCTCAGACCATGGGCTCCCAGGAAGCAGAGCTGTGTCTCATTCACATTCTGCTAGCAGAGTGCCCGGCACATAGCAAGTGCCCAATATATGCAAACAAATTAATTAGGCCCAAGGAGTTAGAAGACTTGCCTAAGGCCAGTGAGCCAGGACAGATGGGGCTGGGAGTTACTGCAGAGGCCGGGCCTCCAAAGCCCAGGCTTTCTGCTGGCCTTGCCTCCCTATATTTAGCTCAGGCTTTTCCTGTCACTCTGGCTGCAGGCGGGGAAGGGCCTGTGAGAGCCACGCTTGGGATGCTGAGCACCGAGCTAAAAGTCTGAGGATGGGGGGACAAAGGAATGAACGAAGACCTGGCAAAATGCCACCAGTGCGGAAGGCAAAGCACAGGCAGCTGGACGAGGGCAAGGACTCCAGCCTGGGCCACAGGTGCCTTCTGTTAGGAGGAACACCTCTTCCCACACACAGACTCAGGATTTTGCAGCCAGGATTACACAGACCCATGGAATTAAATCTGAAATGGGCCCTGGCTGTCCACAAATGGGGGTTACACACCACCCCACCACTGATGATCTGCCCCACACGTCCCCAAACATTTACTTCCTCATTGTCCCATTCCCCAGAATACACACCAGACCAACTGGAAGGCAATTCCAGGAGACAGGACTGTGCTTTCATGGGTGGAGTAAATAAGCCAGTCCTGAGCAGACCCAACACAAGAGGGCTGGTGCCCAGACCCCAGGGCTCCAGGCCCCCCTGGAGAACAAGAGCAGAGTGGCCAAAGCAAGGCCAGCCTTGGATCTACAGGGTCTGCACTACAAGGAGAAGGGACCGGAGCTGGCACCTCACGGTGAGGAGGCAGCAACTCATGGAATGTTCCAGACAAAGCTGGGACACTGTTTTGGACAGTAGGGAATCTATTTTAGACGCGGACATAGAATAGGAGTGGGGCTCTCAGGGTCAGCCACAGGCGAAGATGGGAAGGGGGTTCTGGTTCTGACACCCTAGGAATCCAGCAAGACCTGCCACAGGCCCAGCTTTGTCCTAACAGATGCTAGAAGTGGGAGGTTAGGGTACACAGGATTATATGGGATCACTGGTCATAAACGTGGTTTTTGGATCCCAGCTCATTCTGTTTATTCATCAATGAACGGTCACTGAATATTCTTGGTGCTGGGGATATAGTCGTAAGCAAGATAGACCTGGGGCTGACTTCATGGAACCCCCTGTCTAGCAAGAGGACGTGAGAAACAAGAGCATGAATAAACACCCCCCTCAGAGCTTGGGGACTTGCAAGCCTCTGCTCTCTCATTGGCACCAGGAGAGGAGAATACTAGTGCCTCCTTCAAAGGGCTGTTATAAGGACTAAGTGAATTCCTTATGATAAAAATAAGGGAAAGCAGCTTACAGGGCCCCGAAGAGGGGAGCAGCTGCATCAACTGTGGTGAGGAGCTTCCTTCTTACACAAACAGGGAAAGATCGCCAAGATGTTTTATTAAAAGAAAAAAGTCATATTTCATCATGATGCCAATAATAAAACACCCACACAAATGAAACTCTTCCCCAGGAGCGTACAAGTACATGCGAGCGCACAAGGAAAGGTTCAGAAGGCCACACAAGCACATGATCCAGAAGATTAAAGGGATCATATGGGCCTGGCCCCTAGCAGGCACTCTTTAAACATGAGCCACTATTAATTATAATTTTAGGAAGAGATTTCCTCATGTTCCCTGTTTTTAAGATGAATGGGGGTGAGTGGGATGTTTTTATCTTACTCATTCAAAAAAGCTAAATTTAGACACATTACTTTTTTTGTTTGTTAAAGTAGACTCCACACCCAGCATGGAGCCCAGCATGGAGCCCAGCATGGAGCCCAGCATGGGGCCTGAACTCATAACCCTGAGATCAAGACCTGAGCTGAGATCAGGAGTCGGATGCTTAACCAACTGAGCCACCCAGGTGCCCCTCAACATATTAATTTTGATTTATATGAATCCTTGATGACTATTTTTCTTCTGCTGGTCACGGACCTACAGGAGAAAAGAGAAAAAAGAAAAAAAAAGAAGTTTGTTCTCCTTCTTTCCATTTATCAGTCTGAATGTTTCCCTGGGAATTTGCTCTGGCTACCTGAAGAGCAGGTCACGGGTGCTACTTCTCATATCAACATATGAATAATGGCAACAGGACCCACACATGCCCTATCCTCTCAACACCCAGGGAGGCTGGGTTATCAAGCCTGGTTTTAAGAAAACTGCAACCCAGAGAAGTCACTTGCTGAAGGTCACACTGTGAGGAAGTAAAAAAGGACCTCAACCAATCAATCTAGCTCAACCATTCCTTCTCCCCAGTCTTTCTTGTGTATGTGTGTGCGTGCACACACACACACACACGGATGTTTTACTGTTGTCATTTCCTGGTTACTGACTTTGAGGCACAATTATAATTAACAAATGATCCATGCCACAAACTGTAAACTACTTAATGGCCCCAGGGGAAAGGATGGAGCCTAAGTCACTGGTTTACCTGCCAGTATTACTAAGAATTTTTTTTTTTTTAAAGATTTATTTATTCACTTGAGAGAGTGAGAATGAGAGAGAGGGAGTACATGAGAGGGAGGTGGGTCAGAGGGAGAAGCAGGCTCCTCGCTGAGCAAGGGGTCCGATGTGGGACTCGATCCAGGGACTCCAGGATCATGACCTGAGCCGAAGGCAGTCGCTTAACCAACTGAGCCCCCCAGGCGCCCCTATTACTAAGAATTTATCAGTAGTTTGTCATATCACAGAGTGTGGCACTGACCAACTCAAACAGAGCAGGACCTAAAAATCTACGGGTCAAGATGTTCTCCACATTCAATTCCGCACTCACCAGCGACAGACTGGGCTCTGGATGCCTGCTGCAAATCCATGCTCATCTGGTTCCCAGGACAGCTCTGGTCTGTCTTGCCCAGGGAGGGGAGAGGGAGGACCAGGGGACTTTAAGGTATCGTCCCAGCTAGAAGAGCTGAGAAAAGCCAGCCATGGGACTGAAGACATGTCCCCAAATGCCATACATTGCAACTGAAGCACTGATTGTAGGTCAGACGGAAGCAAGGGCTGGCTTGATCTGTGGGGGACACATAGTGGCTTCCCCAGCCACAGAGACCAGGTTCTGACAGAAGCCGGAGAAGGGTTAGGGACAGAGCTGCTACCCACTAACCTCGGCCGGTGGGGGCGACTTGGCCCCCCCACCTGCCCACCTCCCACACCTCTTGTTCTCCAGGTCTGAAAGGCCCAGCTGCTATTCCTTGCTCCCCAGGGCTTTCATGACCACTCACAACAGGAAAGGGGATCTTGTTCCCGCTGGATTCTTCCAGTGGTTACTCTGCACGCTGGGCCCTTAATTACGCCCCGTTCTCCCTGGCCATCTCTGGTTCATTCACTCATTCAGCAACTGTTGCTAAACTGCTCTATGCCAAGCACAGAGCTGGTAGCTGGGGCCCCTGCAGTGGGAAGGACAGGCTGCTCTCTGTTCGCATGAAGTGCAGAGGCTAATAGGGGAGGCAGAGAGAGAAATAATAATATAAACTTATAAACCGGGAGAGTGCTAGGAAGGAAACAAACAGGCTAAGAAGGAGACAGTGGAGCAGGGGAACCTCACGGAAGGCCTTTTTAAGGAGGGGACACTTAATGGTGACTAAAATTCTGTCTCATATTTGTGCTCTGTGGCTCCCAACAGCCTGAGGCAGGTGCGTCTAACCTCACGACGGGCACTCTTCTGCTCAGTCAATGCTCCAGGACAGTGAGAGGACTTGAGCGACTGCCTTGGTGAGTAAGTGCCCCCATGTGATGTGTCCCTTCAGGGATCTGGCAGCAGCCGCCACAGAGCCCGAACAAAGCCAGCAGTCCCAGAAAACATCTGACCCGACAAAGTTGTCTGACTCAAGAGTCCAGATCCGAGGCGGCCGATGACACAGGTGTGTGATGTCTGCACTTGGGCCACAGCTGGGAGGCCTGGAGGCTGGTCTGACCTGTCTGAAGGGCAACATGGCAGTATCTGCCAAAATGCACAAGGCCCATGTCCTCTGACCCAGTAAATCTCACCACCTGGAGTCTGTCCTGAGAAAACGCTGGCCTGTGTGTACAAGGTTATGTGGAGGGATGCCCAGGGCTCTTCCATTTATAGCAGAAAACCAGAAGCAGCCTCGATGTCCATCAGCAGGAGCCTACCTAGTCAAATCAATCAAGTTCCTTCTGCCCATGGGCTCTTGGAACCAATATCAAGAGGGGATCATCAAGTGAAACGCTGCAAGTCCAAGAGCGGTGTCCAGAATAGGAGGCCATTTCTTCATGTACACAAACAAGCTCAGCATGCATGCATGCGTACTGACAGTGGTCGTAAATGCACAGACAACATCTGCAAAGACACCCCACACCGATCCCAATCATGATGTCTGCCTGGGGTGGGAAGAGAGGGGGACCCTGGGGGCCCTTTTCATTCCGTAAGCTTCTATTTTGTTTGATTTCTTTTCCCAGCAATAATGAATTCATGTATTACTTGTCTGATTAAAAGTAAATTTTTAAAAGATTAAAAAAAAAAAAGGTAAAAAGACAACGTCAAGGCTCAGCCTGGTTTTTCTCCACAGCTCAGTCACCAACTAGCACACTCCATGTAGTTGGCCTTTCGTTCCCACCCCCAGTCCCATCTTCCAACGGTCCAGTCTCTCCTGCCTTCGATGGTCCCTGAGCACTTGCAAACATCTCCCCTACCATCGACGGAGACCCTTCCCTCACAAAGGCAGCCACAGGGAAAAAAGCAGTCATCTGGCAAGTTCCATTAATACCTCGTCATCACTGCAACTGTAGTCCTGACCCACACCTGACACTCATGACCCAACAACAAGCTGTGGACTATTTCAGCAGAGCTTTTGCCAAACTCCGCAGAGGCCCAGGGCGGGCCCAATGCCTTCACACGCCGGCCATCACTTTCCAAAGATAATTAAAGGGATTTCAGCAAGACAGAAGGGCCAGAACAACCTTTTGGATTTCCTAGAGTATGAAGTCGAATCCTGCACATTTCTGTTCAGGCAGGCCACAGGAGGAGCTGAGCATCCACCATGACTAACCTGTGTGTGACAGACAGGATGGACCCTCCAGCACGGTCCCACCCAGGCTACAGGGCCCTCCTCTCTCTTCCTGCTGTTCACAAACCAGGATAAACAACCGGGCTAGACAAGAATTGTCCAGAAAGGTCTGTGCAGGAAATACCAGACCCATCACTCACTGCGAAAGCCCGAGCTCCTCCCCTCTTCTTTCCCAGCAGCTAACCTTGGAGGCAAGGCTCTCCCTGGGGACCATTCCCTGGCATCATTCGTCTCCCCAGTCGCCTGGCTTCCCATCCAGTCCATCAAGCAGAGGAAATGCCTGGCTGTGCCAACGGTAATTAAAGTGGGAAATGGGACAACTGATTCTCCTAAGACCCCACAAGGAAGGTGGAGCTGACCTAAGGGAACTTCAGAGAAGTGTGCTGGACCACCTGCAGCAGAATCTCTGGGAAAACTGATTAAAACCACAAATTCCTGACCCTGTTTTCCGTATCTATTGGGAGTGGGATCAGGGAATCTGGGGGGTTTTTTTGTTTGCTTTTTTGGACAAAGCTGTGTAATTGTGGTAGTCACAACATATCTATAGGATTTAAAACATTACCAGGGCATCTGCATTCTTAACAAGCCCCCTCACCCCGATTCTGAGAAGCATTGCTCTGTGGCACCCAGGGAGGGGCTTTCCCTGGGTCAGGAGGAGATCGGAGCTCCCAGCTGTACCTCTCATTCTCTGACCCCCTGCGGCCTCCTCACCCGTTACTCCCAGTCCCATGATTTCTGCTCCGACTGACCCAACAGCTAGACTGAACTAGTTCTCATCTCCCTGCCTTTGCTCCTGCTGTCCCAGTCTGGAAAGTCTCTCCTCCCCTTATCCCTGTTCCCCGCACCCCCCCGGCCCCCACTGCCCCCGCAACAGTGCCACGCAGCCCAGGGGCTGTTACAGAAAGAGGGGAGCCTCAGAAACGGAGCCTTCCCTGAATTTGGTTCTTGGCTCCTCCAACGACCTTGGGCAAGAGACAACCTGTGTGAACAAGCCTTGGTTGCATTTGTAAAGCAGTGATAACACTATCTCACAGGCTTGCAGGGAGAATGCACTGGGGCGATGGCTCAGCATGGTGCCCAATAAATGCTGGCCGAATTCAGCTTTTCTACTGCTCTCTTCTTTAATCTTCTCTACTGGATCAGGAGCTACTTCAGGGAAAGAATGGTCCCCTCATTCACGTCCAAATGCCTAGTTTGCAGAACCCACAGCCTTTGCTGAATGTCTGAAGCTACAAAACGAATCCCTGTCCCCGTGCAGCCCTGGACTCTTACCTGCCCAACGTTGAAGGTCAGCGTGATGGCATAAAAGAAATTAGAGTTGGCACTTCCCGCATAAATCCAGAGGTGCCACAAGACAGGGAAGAGCAGGGAGCAGACGATAATGATGCAGACGAGGACAAAGATATTTCTCAGGACTGCAAAGACAGATGGTCATAGTCAGCCGAATGCTGATTCTTCTCGGCACCCTTTCTTGGGGGGATGGCCCCACAGGACGCAGAGGCCCAGGGAGAGTCTGGTGTAGCTCAGAGGCAGAAATCCTCCCCCCCAGACTCAGAGGCTCTGCGGTGCCAAGAGGCAAGCCTCAGACCCTTGAGTCAATGGCTTCCCATGCCCATAGCCAGTGGGAAGTCCTAGGTTTGGTCTCTGCACCTCCCACTGTGGGCCTGGATGGCTACCATTGGCAAGACTGTGAAGGCCTCTGGGCACCGCAACGGGGGCATTTCAGCAAGACAATGGAGTGTCCAAGGGTAATTCCTTCCTGCTCCCCAAGCAGGGTGCTGTCTGTCCACATGGGATCATAGAAGGGAACAGCAGCATGAACCCATGGAGGTTAGAGGCCCCCTCCCCCACATAGGGTCTCTATGGTGCCACAGCCCTGGGTCTTAGGAACATGTTTTCCATTTTCCTTAATTCATGTCTTAGGTTCCCTGCCTTTCTCTTCAAATGTCCTTTACTTTTCCTTAGATGATTTGAAAAACTCTTTTGACACCCTCTCTGTCTGACATCATCCCCCCACACCCCCACACTCCCAAAGGGATTACAGAATCCCAAATCCCACCAGGGGGGAAGCTCTCCTAGAAACCCCAGGGAGGACCGGAAACTCAGGCTGGTACTGGCAGGCAGGCGGGGTGCAGCTGGAGGGGAAGGAGCAGGACAGTGTACCCAAACTTGGCCTTAGAAAGGCAAAGACCTTGGTTAAAATCCCTGCTCCGCCAGCAAGTTTCTCTAAGTCTCAGCTTGCCCATCTCTAAAGTAGGGCTAAAATGCCTACTCTCAGGTGGCTTACATGGATTAAGCAAGATGTGTGAAAAACCTGGCACGATGTATTCCTGAGTATTTTCTATGGCTGCTATAACATATCACCACAAATGTAGTGGCTTAAACAGTATACAGTTTATCTTATCGTTCTGGAGGTCAGAAGTCCAGGACAGGCCTCACAGGCTAAAATCAAGGCACAACCCCCTCGCAACCCCCTTCCCGCTTCACCCAGCAAGGCCAGAGTAAGTCCCTTCCTACGCTGCAGTACGCTGACCTCTTTTGCTTCCTTCCCTCTTCCACTTTTTTTTAGAAAATAGACTTTGGAGCAGTTTTAGGTTCACAGCAAAACTGTGGAAGAGATCCCCCATGTGCCCCTTGCCTCCAAGCCCTTCTATTTTTTTTTTTTTTTTTTTTTTGACAGAGAAGGGGGAACACAAGCAGGGAGAGTGGGAGAGGGAGAAGCAGGCTCCCGCTGAGCAGGGAGCCCGATGAGGGGCTCGATCCCAGGACCCCGGGATCATGACCTGGGCCGAAGGCAGACACTTAACCAACGCCACCGAAGCCCTTCTACTTTTTAAGGGCCCTTGTGGATTACACTGGGTCTACCTGCAGATAAGCCTCCAGGCTAATCTCCCCATCTGAACATCCTTAACTTTAAATCCTTTTGCCACATAAAGTAATATATTCACAGGCTCTGGGGATGATGTGGACATCTTTGTGGGGAGGGCAGCATTAATCATACTGTGCTTCCCCCTGCCTTTTAACTCAATAAGGGGTATCTGACAGTAGGATTATATGCTATTTTTATATCTTTCTTTACACTTTATTGTATTTTTAAAGAAACTAGTAAGTATTATTTAAAATAAACTAATGAGGGCGCCTGGGTGGCTCAGTTGTTGGGTGTCTGCCTTCGGCTCAGGTCATGATCTCAGGGTCCTGGGATCGAGCCCCGCATCAGGCTCCCTGCTCGGTGGGAGGCCTGCTTCTCCCTCTCCCACTCCCCCTGCTTGTGTTCCCTCTCTCCCTGTGTCTCTGTCAAAAAAGTAAATAAAATCTTAAAAAAAAACAAAACAACTTACCAATGGATCTGGGTCCCAGCAGGCACTTAATGAACAGAAGTTCCCTACACCTCTCTGATCCTGACCTTCAGGAAATCCCTTCTTCCAAATCAGAGTTTGGGGAGATTTCAGAGATGGGGAACCTCCCGAACATTAAGGTTGTTTGTCTTGGTTGTACGGAAACTTGGTAGAACTGCTATACCAGGGATTCATGCATCGGAAGGGGGACTGGATTACACATGCAAGTCTCAATTCTGGCTGCAAAATAAAATCACGGGGGAGCCCCACCTGGTCTGAGTCAATCAGAGTCTCTAGGGGTGGGGCCTGGGCATCCATAGTCGTTTGTTAACAGCTTCCCTGGTGATTCCAATTTGCAGCCAAGGCTTCAAAGCGTGGGATTACAGCTGCAGACCCTTGGCAAATAAGAGGCCCAGACCAGTCTGCAACAGAGATTTCACTGGTCTGTGTCACGGTGATGATAACCAGAACAAGGTAGTTCAGAGTTCCTGTTAAAGGTGAATGTTTTGAACTTAAGATTCATGAGAAATGAAAGGTGTCTCTTTGTTCCTTGTTGTTGTTGTGAAAAAGTCCTTTCTTTTATGAAATGGGGATGAATGGCTGGCAGTTGACTATTTTAATGTCTTTAGCAAAATAAGAAGTTGGCAACTCTGTCATCAGAGTTTTTAAAAAAGTATTAGTGGTCTGTGAACTCCCACAATTTGGAAACACTGGCCTGGAGTGCTTAGGGGTCCTCTTTTCTGACCTGAAATTTCCATGATTCTGGGTTTTCAAAGCAGGGACGGACCTGACTCAAGTCTTCCTGAGACTTCCTTGCTCCCAGAACAAGAAGTCTGGGAAAGGGGATACATGCATTGAGAATTACTAGTAGGGCGCCTGGGTGGCTCAGTTGGTTAAGCGACTGCCTTTGGCTCAGGTCATGATCCTGGAGTCCCGGGATCGAGTCCCACATTGGGCTCCCTGCTCAGCAGGGAGCCTGCTTCTCCCTCTGACCCTCCTCCCTCCATGCTCTCTCTCTCTCTCTCTCTCTCTCGCAAATAATAAAAAAAGAATTACTAGTAAACAATGTTACAACCTCAAGAAAGGAGAACAAATCTATTTGCCATTCCTCCACTCCCACATCACTATTTACATTTCTCAGTGGTTCTTTTTTTTTAAAGATTTATTTATTTATTTTAGGGGTGGGGGCGAAGGGGCGAGAGCGTTTTTTTTTAAAGATTTTATTTATTTATTTGACAGAGAGTGCGCGCACGAACAGGTGGAGCGGCATGCAGAGGGAGAGGGAGAAGCAGTGCCTCCCCACCGCAGAGTAGAGAGCCCGACTCAGGGCTCGATCCTAAGATCCTGGGATCATGACCCGAGCTGAAGGCAGCCGATTAACCAACTAAGCCACCCAGGCGCCCTGCTAGAGAGAGTCTTAAGCAGACTCGGCGCTGAGTGTGGAGCCCAAAGCAGGACTCGATTCCACAACGCTGAGATCACAACCTGAGCCGAAATGAAGCGTCAGATGCCCCTCTCAGCAGTTCTTTCTGATCCCCTGGAAATTATTTTGCTGAAAAAGATAGATGCTATTCCTAAAACAAAACTCCTATGGCCTGACAGCCCAGGTAGGTCATTGTTCCTTGCCTCGCCACTCTGGATTTCAGACAGGGTGACAAGAAGGTGACAAAGTGCACAGAGACTAGGAGATGCTCCCATGCAGCTCCCGGCTGCAATTACAGACAGCTGCAAAGATACATTCCCATGTGCCTTGAGGAACTGTCACCAGCATCCAGTTGGCTTCTGGCCTGTGATGACCTTTGCAGGAACAGGGAGCTGCTACTCACTTTTGCTGGCTGACAGGCCAGAGGACTAAAGCTATATGCCAGAGCACACGGTGCTGGGGACCTGGGGCACAGGACAGCTTGTTCCAGGCACCAGGTGTCAGAGATGTCAGAGATGACCAGGGCCTGATGAGACGAATGGCTCACCCTTCATCAGACTTACTGGGTCAGAGGGAATCAGATTCCCCACCACACTCATAGGGTGGCTTATCCAGTCTCTGCCTCTGTTACTGACAAACTGAAACTTCAGGCAAGTCCCCTTCCCTCTCTGAGCCTCAGGTGTTCAGAAATAAAATTCTAGGGGCACCTGGGTGGCTCAGTCAGTTAAGCGGCTGCCTTCAGCTCAGGCTCAGGGCATGATCTCGGGGTCCTGGGATCGAGCCCCATGTTGGGCTCAGCAAGGAATCTGCTTCTGCCCATCCCCCCACTAGTACTCACTCACTTTCTCTCTCCCTTTCTCAAATAAATAAATAAAATCTTTAAGGAAAAAAATAAAATAAAATTCCACTTGAAGAAGCCAGCCCCACTGGGAGGAGCACAGAGGGGACCGGGAGCTTCAAAGGTGCTTATTGTATTATTATTCTCTATAACTTGTATGTTTTTTATCCATATTCTTTTATCTTTATGCAAAAGTTAATAAAAACAAAACACATACTACACACATATGCCGCCTCTGGTAACTGGCTCTTTGGACCGGGCCACCGCAGACTAGCATGGGCTCTGCCAGCAGGCGGTTCCCTAACACCGCAATTGTGTGTGTGTATGACTCATCCTGGCCCCAAGCACCAGAGTCCCTGTGTCTGGGGCCTGCATTCAGAGCAGGGCCCACATACCTGTTCTTCTCCCCACTGGCCAGGACAGGAAAACAAAAAGGTGAATGTGTGAGCAGGCAGGTTAGCACTGGCAACTAATGTTTAAACTGAATTCTTAAGCCCATTACAAGTGTGAATATATCCAACCTAGACTTACAGACTTCTCCAAGTCTCCGCCCACAGGTCCAAAGGACTCGGCTGCAGATGCTCCTGGCTGAATGCAATGACGCACGGCTGTCATGCCCCACACAGATACCCTGAGCACAAGTATTCTCTGCCACAGGAGCTGGCCATTGAGGGGGGCAGCCAATGCTCCATGCAGGATCTTTGGTCAAGCTGAACTGTAAACTGCTTGCCCAGCCAGCCAGCTACAGCCTCTATTAGATCATCTAGGTTTCTAGAAACCCCATCCTTGTTTTCTCTGCCTCAACCCCAGAGGGCATAAAATAGCTTATTTCAAGTTTTTAAAAATATGTTTATTCCAATGACTCTGACTACTTAGCCTGAAGCTTTGGTCACGGAACTCTGCAGGGGGCCCCCTGCATGATTACTGTCGGTGATAACTGCAGCGCTCTTTACGTATATCCTTTCTCAAACTTAAAACACTCATTGGAAGATATTCTCCCCATTTGACAGATTAAAAACCCAGAGACTCAGAAAGGTTCGATGAATTTCCTAAAAACAGATAGCTAGTAATGGGAAAGCCAGGATCCAAATTCAAGTCTGTCTGGCTCCAGGCCGTGTTCAGGAATACGGGATGAAGGATTAACCAAGAGCAAGAGGTGCCCCGTGTGGGACAGCCAGCTAAGAAAACAATGACTCTACTTTTGGGGAAAGAGGATCAATGTACCCAAGACCCACCCTGTCACAATCTGGGGCATGCTGACATGTTTGGTGGCCTCATGACTTGTCACTGGCCACCCTGCTGTGGGGCACCAGGCTGACTGTAAGCCTGCTGGGCTGGGTGATTCTTATCTATGCAATGAGGATGTCACAGGCAGAAGACACCAGCCACTTCCTTCTCTCAGGCAGGTCGGACTGGTCACCGCCCCACAGGTCACCACCTGCAAGGGCAGCCCAGGCTTGGCCCGCCCACTCTGCTGTTTACCTTCGCTCAGAGGCCCCGGCTTACAGGTAGGTTTCTTTCTAGCAGCTGGTCGGTTTCACTTCCTGGTTGACACCCAGACAGCCCCAAATAATAACAAAGATTTACTTCCTCTGAAGCCTGCCCTCCCCAGGTTCATTCTTGACATCTTGCTGGGCACCCACTGTAGGCAAGGAAAATTCTACAGCTCCCTTCCCATTTTAGTTTAGAGAATCATGTGGTGTTGGGCCACGGACATTGCCTCTTTATTAGGGAGGCTGAAAAAACCCATCCAGAAACACCTGCTGAGCTGTGGGTCAGGTCTGAGCCTGGGTGCTGGGGACACAGAGGTGAGTGAATCATCAGCCTACCCTCAGGAAGCCCATTACGCTGAAAAGAGCCCTCACAGAGGGCTAAGAGTCCAACTGAGGAAAATCCTGGGGGCCTAGGAGGCAGGGGGAGGGGGATGGTTAGAGCTGAAGGGGTTTTCGGAGCAGGCAACTGTGCAGTGCTGCCGTCTGCCTTCTGTGGACATTTAGGTGCAGTGCTGGGAAGCGGTCCAAAGCCCAAGGTCTAGTGTTCCACTGTCCAATACGGTACCTACCAGCCACGTGTGACTTCTTAAATTTAAATAAATTTCAATTAAAAATTGAGTTTCTGAGTCACACCAGTGGCTATTCTATTGGACTGTGCAGATAAAGGACATTTCCATCATCACAGAAAGTCCTACTGGACAGCACTAGCTAGAAGCTCATGGCCAGCCCTTCCACTTACCTATCACGTAACCTTGAACAAGTGGCTCTACCTTCCTGAACCTCAGTTTTCTCATCTGCAAAATGGTGATATTTTCCCACCAAGGCTGGTGTGAAGATAAACTGACCTAATGCACATAACACTCTTAGAACCACAGTGGCCAGGTAGCTACCGAGTAAGTGCTCAAAAAATGGTGGTTATTTGGGGGCGCCTGGCTGGCTCAGTCAGTTAAACATCGGACTCCTGGTTTCAGCTCTTCGGCTCAAGGTCGTGATCTTATGGGTCGTGGGATAGAGCTCCGAGTCCTTGTCGGGCTCTGTACTCAGCAGGGGGTCTGCTTAAGATTCTCTCCCTCTGCCCCTCCCCCTACTCTCTAACTCTCACTCTCTCTCAAAAAACAAAATCTTTTTTTTTTTTTAAGATTTTATTTATTTATTTGACAGAGAGAGAGATAGCGAGAGCAGGAACACAAGCAGGGGGAGTGGGAGAGGGAGAAGCAGGCTCCCCGCTGAGCAGGGAGCCCGATGTGGGACTCGATCCCAGAACCCTGGGATCATGACCTGAGCCGAAGGCAGACGCTTAACGACTGAGCCACCCAGGCGCCCCCAAAAACAAAATCTTCTAAGAAATAAAATAAGCAGCATTTTTATTTTTTTTTTAATTTTTAAAAAAGATTTTATTTATTTATTTGACAGAGAGAGACACAGCGAGAGAGGGAATACAAGCAGGGGGAGTGGGAGAGGGAGAAGCAGGCTTCCCGCGGAGCAGGGAGCCCGATGTGGGGGTTGATCCCAGGACCCTGGGATCATGACCTGAGCCGAAGGCAGACGCTCAACGACTGAGCCATCCAGGCGCCCCTAAGCAGCATTTTTAAAAAGATTTATTTACTTGAGAGAGAGAAAACGAGCGAGCACGAGTGGGGAGTTGGGGAGCAGAGGGAGCGGGAAAAGCAGCTGATGCAGCCGATCCTAGGACCTGGAGATCGTGACCTGAGCTGAAGGCAGCCGCCAATCAACAGAGCCACCCAGGCGCCCCACAATGTTGCTTAGTTATTACCATCACCAGCCTGCAGTACCTAGCTCAGGCAGACACTCAGGTCACTGTCTCTCTCCCAGTGCTGCTGGTGCAGCAGAGGCCCAGCAAATGCCTATCAATTTCTTTTTCCCTGGCTGTTTCATCCAGGGACCAGGCTGACACAAATCTGCCCCCAGAGGTTTAGAGGAGGGAGTACTCACATCTGTAGAGATGGTTCCACACAGGGAAGAAGGCCATGTAGAGGGCCACGTCCCCCACCGTTGGGTAGGACTTGAAGATGGAGATGATAGCAATCTGGATGAACATGAAGAAGATAGGGTGGTCCCTGGGGCGGGGCGGGGCAGGCAGGCAGACAGAGAGGGAGAGATCAGTCAGGGACGAGGTCCACCCCCAGAGACTCCTAACCCCATCCCTTGAACTCAAAAATGCTCTCCAGGGGACTTCAGGCAGGGGCTGGCTCTGCTGCCCACAGGACACGGGGGCCAGACCGAGTAGCACAGCAGAAAACTGGGGACCCAGAGATGTCCGGAGGTGGTGGTGGAGGAGGGCCCAGCAAACACTAGAGAAACAGCTCATCCCCTCGCCAACCCCCATCCCAGCTCTGGGCCTTCCCCTAGGAGCCACTAAGGAAGAAAACAGATGAAGTCAGCTTCATTACTGGGCTCTAAAGGCTGCTTGTTAGAGTCATCAGGCAGCCTCCCTTGCCAGAGGCCCCTTTGACAACCGGACCCAGGGCAGGAAGTGCCGGGCTTGCCGACGCTCTTCTTCTCTGACAGTATGGTCAGTGGAGTCTCCGGACCCTTAGCTATGATGTGCTCCTTTCCAGAAAGAGAACTGATTGCTGCAGGCAGCTTTTCAGCTCCAAGGCGCTGGAACTGGAGTTCTTATTACCTTAAACTAACAATAACGGCTACCATTTCCTAAACCCTCACTCTGCCAAGTTCTGTCCAGGCCCTTTCCTTGTGCCATCACATGTGATCCCTACTGTGAGTCAGCTACTCCTCGAAGTAGGCAGGACCGTCACCCACACTTTGCAGATGAGGAAATGGAAGTTCAGAGAAGGTAGGTGAATTAGTAAGCAGTGGGACTGCTTATCTCCAGAACTCTTAAGCATCACCAGTACTGTTCTCCTGAGTGCCTAGCACGATCACAGCTCTCGTCAGGAAGGGTGGGGACAGAGCTCCATCTCCAGTGTTCGTCCGAGAGCTGACCAAGTGCTAAAAGGAAGCCAACAGGAAAGGGCCAGCTCTACACCCTCCTTAGCTGTACCTAAACAACAAGCATATGGCCTACTTCTGCGCAGTACCTGGATGCCCAGCTCATTAAGGTTTTCTTCAGAGATTAATAGTATTCTTGACTTGCAGGTCAAAGGTCAGGGTGACTCAGTGGGTGTCAATCTGAGATGTGGAGACAAACACGTACACACCCCAAACACTTGAGCAGTTTTACATAGCAAATGCTTCAGACGCAGCTTGGCAAAGTCTCACAGTCCTGTAGGCTCTAGAAGGGTCCAGCTAGCTCAGTGAGCATCTTCCTAAAGATAAGCCAAATCACTGGCTGTGGGCTTTTTAGGTAGCTGGTAAGAACTGCAACATTTCTATGAAAAGGCCAGTGAAAGGACAGTGATAGAAAGTATGGAGACCCGAGGCTCCTGCAGTACTGTCTGGAGAGAGGTGGCTGGAAGGGCTCTGTTCCCACGAAGCTGGCACTGGAAGCAACCACCGCAGGGGGCTGCAGAGTTAGCAGAGCTTCAGATCCAGCAGGGGAGGCCACTTCATACGCTCTGTCCCTACAACCTGGGGTGGGTGTGGGTGGGGGTCACACGCTGGTGCTGCTGTTGTCTACCCCCAGGAGCCACCTGTGGCCTTTCCCATGCAGACAATGAAAGGGGCTACGCAGATGAGGAAAGGTGTTCCGGGCTCCCGGCTTCTCTCAGCCCAGCGGCTAAGCCTGATCAGAACAAAGGCAGGGACTGGGGACGACAGACAGCTGGAGAGCTTGGCTGGGCAAGGCTGCCAGAGTTCTGAGACTGCCAGGCCAAAGCTAAGTTGTGGGAAGGAGGCATGAGCTCTGAGCTTTTATAGAATGGGAACCATGTGCATTGGTACACTGGCCATGAAGACTGGCAGGAAGGTTAGAACAGAGAACTCAGGCTCTTGAAATCTAAACCAAATTCCCTTCCGGGTTCCCTGGACCAGCAGCTAAGGATGACTGGCCCCACTGAGATCAGGTTGTGAGGGGCCCTTCAGGCACCCAGGACCATCACCTGGACCATGTGTCAGAGCCTGTTTTCCCTTCCCTGAGCCAGGATAACAGAACAATTTCCAGGGGCTACTACAAGTGATCCCTTTCAGGAGTTTGGCACGGTGCAGGGGGATGAGGATAGATTTTGGAGACAAACAAATGTAGGTCTAATCCCAGCTCCACTACTCACTCGCTGTGTGACTCTGGGAAAATTTTTCCACTTCTCCGAATGTCCATTCCTCAACTATAAAATGGAAGTGATGGTAATAAAATGATGCCTACTTCCAAGAAATGCTGGAAGGCTTGAGTATGAACACTTTTCAGAAAGCCTAAAAAGGGCTGGGATGGAGCCAGGCTCAATACGTGTTCACTTTCTTATACTACAGAAGAGAGCTCCACAGATAAGCCTTTTGAAGGAAATTCATCAGAAGATTAAACAGAGCTGCAGGTAGCCAACCTCCCAACTAATACATCCTGAGTCCCTACTGTCACCGGGATAGTGATGGAGGACGCCCAACAAGAGCCACTTTTTCCAAAGACACCTTCCAACTCCAAACCCTTCCTCTTGTGCAAAATATGCGGGGTTCAGTAGCACTGTGGGCTCAGAGTGAAGCCAGAGGAAATATGAAGGGTGCTCCAGAGCACCGTCCCTGCAGCCTGTACTCATGTGTGACTGTGCCGCGAGCTACGGTGCCTGGCACGGGAGCCCAGTGAGGGCAGGTCCCCTGGGCAGAGACGGCATAAACCTGAGACCAGATGCTCCCAGCTTGACAGGCACCTGTAAGACTGCAAATGGCTCTGTGGACAAAGCAGCAGCAGGTCCAACCACTTACTTTAGCTTTATGGCTAAGGGGATGGTGTAGAAGAAAACGTTGATCTGAAACACACATACAAAGAAGAGGCTGAAGTGCTCAAACATCTCCGCAAAGAAGTACCAAAAAAGACCAATGTTTGGAGTAAGATCTGGAACAGAAAGTCTGGAATGAAGAAAACAAAGGGAGGGGAAAAAAGAGAGCCAAATTATAAATGGTCTGTTTTGACCTGGTTTTCTCCTAAAGATTCTGGTCACTACTGGGCAGCCAGGGATGACTGTCCCTACTGAGATCAGGATGTGAGGGGCTCTTCAGGCACCCTGGATATAGGTAAATAATAAAAACAAGAGGCAGAGAAACAGAAAATGATAACCCTTAACAAATATTAGCTGAACCAAACTGGCGTGCATCAAAGATCTGAAATGAGGCAGCATTCAGGCTAGAAATCAAGAGACCAGCCCCTTGGGGCGCCTGGGTGGCTCAGTCATAAGCGTCTGCCTTCGGCTCAGGTCATGATCTCAGGGTCCTGGGATCGAGCCCCGCATCGGGCTCCCTGCTCAGTGGGGAGCCTGCTTCTCCCTCTCCCACTCCCCCTGCTTGTGTTCCCTCTCTCGCTGTCTCTCTCTGTCAAAAAAAAAAAAAAAAAAAAGACCAGCCCCTCTTTTACTGCCTAAAATACGTATGTTTAAATTTAGGAGATATCCAGGACTGTAACAATAGAGGAATGGGTTTTAAACAAACAATATCTAGGGGCGCCTGGGTGGCTCAGTTGGTTGGGCGACTGCCTTTGGCTCAGGTCATGATCCTGGAGTCCCGGGATTGAGTCCCGCATCAGGCTCCCTGCTTGGCAGGGAGTCTGCTTCTCCCTCTGACCCTCCCCCCTCTCATGTACTCTCTCTCTCATTCTCACTCTCTCAAATAAATAAATAAATAAATCTTCAAAAAAAATAAAAAATAAAAAATAAACAAACAATATCTACTTGGGGGCATTCCAAAGACTTGCCTAGAGGAGCAAGCTCAAAGATCCTACTGCTCCCCATTCTTGCTCTGTATCCCCACAGCAGGAGCCAGAAACTGAGTGCCTGACACGGCACTGACTTCTGGGGCCTTGCAGAAGCATCAGCAGGTTCCAGCTAGATCCCAGATCTCATCTGAGAAACAAGGATTTCACTGGAAAACTTTTTGTCTAGTTGTATCAGATAAAGATTGGTTGCCATTCTGGCTCTTCTAAAAATTTACATTATATGTTTTATTTAAAAAAACAACAGAGTTGAAACTGATGTCAATTCACAATGTGAAAAGGGCAATAAATGGAGCATGGAGAAGGGAGAAATATGCAGGGGCTCATGGTCAGAGTTCACTGACCAGAGTTCACTCCACCCAGGGCGCGTCTTTGCCTCCTGCTGTGACTACATTTCCTTTTCTGTAAAATGAGGTAAAGAATACAGTCTGCAGGTCCGCAAAAAAACAGGCAAAGCTTTTCGCCAGCAATACAAACTCCTATCTAACGAACAGCATGAAGAGCGAACAGTTATGCTCAGCAAGGATTTAACACAAATTAGCAGTCCAGAATCCCAAAGGGGAGTCTGCCACTCCATATCCCTTCCTCACCCTGACAGGTTTAACTAACACCTCACTGGGCTGTGAGTTCCTTGAGGTTTGGGCAGCGACCATCCTCCTCCACATACCACACAGAAAGCATTGGGAAATGTGTGCAGAATTCATACTCCATTTTGATTTTCTCTAAAAGTTTGACACATGGGAGGTGGCTTTATTTTAAAACTGTTAGAGACCTGCTTGCAGTAGAGGAATCCATTCCTGTTGGGGACTGAACCAAACCCTTCCAGGCAGACACTGGTAGTTGCTTCAGATGTTCCTGGAGAGTGATCTTTAATCTCACTAGACTGAAGACACTCGCTAGACCTGTGGTTCTCAAAGTGTGTTCCTGGACCAGCGGCATTAGCATCACCTGAAAACTACTTAGAAATGTAAATTCTTGGTTCCTATCCCAAATTTACTTAATCAAAACCTCTAGAGGCTGGGCTCGGAAATCTGGGTGTTAAGAAGCCCTGCAGGTGGTTCTGGTGCACACTGAAGTTTGAGGACCACCATGTCTAGATGCTCCCTGTGGTTGCTCACACTCTGACTCCAGCTAGAGCTGGGAAAAAGAAATTAGCTTCCAGAGTTTTCTAATGAAGTCATTACTTACATGAAGCCATAGACTGCAGGGATGAAATCCCAGGAGCTGAGAAGGAAGAAGGAGAGGCAAATGATTACCACTAGACTTCCCACGTACATCATGGCATATTCCCAAGAGAAGATCCAGAAGGCTTTGCTCTTCACTTTCACAGGTATGTACTGCCGCTAGGAGAGAAGGCAAAATGGTATATTTAGGGATGTCAAGGACAGAAGGAAATTATCAGCTTAAACTTCAAGATCCCTTCAGCACAGCATAGGACACAGAAAAATTTTGAAAATCAAAGGACTGAAAAGGATTTACTTATGCTAGATAAACACTAAGCATAAGAAAACTAGTTTAGTTATACTGTTACCAGATAAAATAAACTTTAATGTATAAAGAATTACAAAAATAAAGATGTTCCATAACGAGAAAAGGTTTATCAGAAAGATGTAACAGTTCTAAACTTCTATGTACCAAATAACACAGTCTAAAAATATATAAAACATGGGGCGCCTGGGTGGCTCAGTCATTAAGCATCTGCCTTCGGCTCAGGTCATGATCCCAGGGTCCTGGGATGGAGCCCCACATCGGGCTCCTTGCTCCACGGGAAGCCTGCTTCTCCCTCTCCCACTCCTCCTGCTTGTGTTCCCTCTCTCACTGTGTCTCTCTCTCTGTCAAATAAATAAATAAAATCTTTAAAAAAAATAAAAATAAAAATATATAAGACAAACGTGGACAGGTCTACAAAAGAAAAACAGACATAACCATCATCAGTAGGTAACTGTTAGATCAAACAGACAAAAATCAGTAACCAAGTAGGAAATAGGAATAGCACATTTTTAAAAAATTTGTAACTTCCCTGAGAATGAGTCAGAAAAAAATATATATATCTACATAGATATAGAAAACATGGCAAAATGGTAACTGAGTCATCTAAATAAAAGGTACTTTTCATACTAGTCTTTTAACTTTTCTAAAGCATGAAATAAAAGATTAGGGAAAAACTAATTCAAGAAGAAACAGAAAATTAGAATGGTCCTATAAACATTTAAGAAATTGAATTAGTGGGCGCCTGGGTGGCTCAGTCGTTAAGCGTCTGCCTTCGGCTCAGGTCATGATCCCAGGGTCCTGGGATCGAGTCCCACATCGGGCTCCCTGCTCGGCAAGAAGCCTGCTTCTCCCTCTCCCATTCCCCCTGCTTGTGTTACTGCTCTCGCTATCTCTCTCTCTGTCAAATAAATAAATAAAATCTTTAAAAAAAAAAAATTGAATTAGTAATGAAAATTTTTCCCATAAAGGAAAGAGCAGGCCCAGTCAGTTATACAGAAAAGTTCTACCAACATTCAAGAAGCAGGTTATTCTAATCTTACATTAACTCTTTCACAGCAAATATCATAAGCTTTATACCAAAACCATTTACCAACAAAAATGCAAAAATGCTAAATGATATATTATCTAACATAATTCAGCAATACATGATAAAGTTGGGTTATTACCAGGTTGGATTTATTCCAAAAACTCAAGGTTAATTCAACATAAGAAAAGCTATTGATATATGTAACACAAACAGCTTAAAAATAAGAAATCATATTAATGTCTAGATATATGCAACAACTACTTATGATAAAAATAACAAGCAATAAAAGAATTCAGTGAAGGAGCAGAGTATAAAATTAACATACAAATAGCCTTCATATGCACTAATAATAAACAATTAGAGGACACAATGGTAAGGAAAACCATATTTACAATAACACCAAGGAAAAGAAAACTTAGAATTAAGTTTAACAGGAAATGTGTAAAACCGATTCATGGAAAATTTTAAAACACTCCTGAAAGACACTAAGGTAGACTTGAACAGATGGACAGATATCCCCTGTCCTTGTTTAGGATGATTCGAAATTATAAAGAGGTCAGTTCTTCCTAATTTATAAATTCAATGCAATAATACAATACCAATAAAAATGTCAACAAGCTATTTTATGGAATTATACAAGATTAAAGTTCATATGGAAATAAAACATGCAAGGAATGAAGAACTAATACACCTTACAACAGGGATGAACCTTGAAAACCTCAAGCTAAGTGAAAGAAATCAGTCAAAAAAAGACCACATATTATATGATTCCTTTCATATGAAATGTTCAGGATAGGAAAACCTATAAAGACAAAAAGCAGAATACTGATTGCGTAGGGCTAGAGGGGAAAGGGACACTGGGGAAAAACAGAGTTACTGCTTAATGGGCATGAGGTTTCTTTTTGGGTGATACAAATATTTTAGAACTGATTGTGGTAATGGCTGCACAACTCTGTAAATATCCAAAAATCACTGAGTTGTATTCTTTAAGTAGGTAAATTGCATGCTATGTAAATTATATCTTGATAAAAATAAAAGCTGTTAAAAGAAAAACACCATAAATAAGTAAAAAAGACAAATGAGAAACTGGAAGAAAATATTTGCAGACAAAGGGTTAATACTCCTAATATATAAAGGATTCTTAAAAATTGAGGGAAAACAGGGGCGCCTGGGTGGCTCAGTCGTTAAGCGTCTGCCTTCGGCTCAGGTCATGATCCCAGGGTCCTGGGATCGAGCCCCACATCAGGCTCCCTGCTCAGCGGGGAGCCTGCTTCTCCCTCTCCCACTCCCCCTGCTTGTGCTCCCTCTCTCTCTCTGTGTCTCTGTCAAATAAATAAATAAAATATTAAAAAAAAATGAGGGAAAACAGATCTAAATCCAACAGAAAAATGAGGAGGAAAAATGAACAGACAATCCACAAACATGATAAAATGTTCAAACTCATTCATATTTAAAGAAATGCAAATTAAAACAACACTGAGATACCATTTCTCATAATCAGACTGGCAAAAATTTTATAATGTGACAACACATTCTGTTAGCAAGGCTGTGGAAAAACAGGCACTATCATACATTACTGGTGGGAATAAAAAATTTGTACAATCCCTGTGGAGGGAAATTTTAAAAGACCTAAAAAAACTACATATATACTTACCTATGGATCAGTAATTCTACTTCTAGAAATCTACCTTGAAGATACCCCTCTGACGATATGAAAATACATATACACAAGGTTACTCATTAAAGCATTGTGATTGCAATTGCAATTGCAATTGCAAAAAGTTGAACAAACTATGGTACGTCCACACAATGGAATACTACACCACTATAAAAAAGAATGAAGATCTCTGTGTATCAATCTGCAGTGACTTCCAAGAAATAATAGTAAAAAAAGCAAAGCACAAAAGGGTACCTAGAGTATGCCATCCTTCATATAAGAAAGAAGGAAATATACAGGTACCTGCTCATTTGTGCAAAAGAAACACAAGAAGGATAAACCAGAAACTAAAAATAGTTACTTAGGGTGACAGAGAAAGAAGGAAAAAGGAAAGAACAAGGGGCGCCTGGGTGGCTCAGTCGGTTGGCCGTCTGCCTTCGGCTCGGGTCATGATCCCAGGGTCCTGGGATCGAGCCCTGCATCAGCCTCCCTGCTCAGCGGGGAGCCTGCTTCTCCCTCTCTCTCTGCCTGTCGCTCTGCCTACTGTGTTCTCTCTCTCTGTCAAATAAATAAATAAAATCTTTAAAAAAAAAAAAAAAGAAAAAAGAAAGAACAAGATAGCAGGGATGAAGATAGAGTGATATTTCTCTGAATATGTTTTTTGTGTAGCTGATTCTTGGAACCATAGCAGTATTTCTTAGTCTCTTCACATACCCCCAAATAAACAAAAAATTAAAACCAACCAAGGTGTAGGAGAAATCCAAAATGATACAAACAGTAATACATGAGCCTAGCTATATCATAAATAAGATAACTACACTGAAGGACCACATGGGAGAAGAAAAGAACTAACCTGAGTGACTTTGAGAAACAGTAGCCTGACAAAACAATCATGCTAAAGACAAAAAGGATTATACTTACGTGCCATAATCAAGTCAATAAATATACTTCTCACATGGGTATTTCTCACAGCAATTCTAGAACAACTTTGTGTGTGTTCTAGAACTGAACATTTTAGCAAATAAACTGCAAATAATGAAAGTTGGGCTTCCAAGCATTAGAGAAAGAAATTATACACAAGGAAAAGGAAGACACTAAAGTGAACCCTGTGGTGTTGGACTGGAATCACAGGTATCAGTATAAACAGATATTGGGATCGAGCTATTAGTATGAAGAGATAGAGAGATAAAGAATTACAGACATGTTTGGGGGGGCAGTTAGTGTACATGCATGTATTTCATAGCTCTGTCTGCTAGAAGCATACCCATAACCCTTGGTTTCTAAATAGCATTCACCAATAAAAGGAACCAGGAGTCCTCAAAGAAGTAGTTGATTCCAGGGCTGGGGCAGGGAAAATACAAGATGAACTTGGATCACCTTGTGGTACCAGAAAGAAAGGAAGGAAAGGCTCAAAAAGACGAGGCTTGTCAAATGAACACAAGAGCCGATTTAAAGGAATTTTCTAGGTCAAAGCTAGAAAAATGTGAACAATGGCTAATATTAGTACTGGATTTTTTTTTTGAGGTGAAATTCACACAACATACACTTAACTATTTTAAAGTATGCAGTTCAGGTGCTTTAATGGTTGCCATGAAAGAAGTTTGAGGTGGATGAGGGTTAGCTCCCACTCTACACTCTCTCTGCGAAAAAAGCAAGTTCCAGACCAGATTCTGGTATACTTAACAACATTTATTAAACAAATATTCATTAGCAAGCAGGCACAAAGCACTTTACACAAATTATTCTAGAAGGTCCATTAAGTCCCAGCTCTCTCCCTTTTTAGTTGTTCCAATCAACTATTGTAAAAAAGCTTCACTTGGGGCGCCTGGCTGGCTCAGTTGGAAGAACATGTGACTCTTGTTCTGGGAGTTATGAGCCCCATGTTGGGTGTAGAGCCCCACGTTGGAGGTAGAGATTACTAAAAAAAATAAATAAACTTAACAAAAAAATTTTTCACTCAAAGCAGAAGTGACAATATGACAATATCCCAGAGGCATGGGTCTGTTGTCCTTGGAGTCACATCAGGCAACCAGAAATCCTCCTAAGAAGGCTAGACAGAAGATGGATTGGGATTGAAGCCTCGGGCACCATCTCCAAGGGAGGAAGTTACAGGCCTTCCTGGATTCTTATTCCCCTTTCATGCAAGTATAGTAAGTGTCTCTAAAATA